GAGAGATGATTTAACAGATGCAACTTTACACCTTAATATTTATTTTATATTATTTGAAATAAAATGTATTGTCATTAATATAGATATCTTATTTGATTTTTTTTAAATAAAATTATATACTATGGCCTTTTTAGTGATATATTTCTACATATATAATTTATAATGAATTTAGACTTTATTAAAAGAAAGTTTATTTTTATTAAAATATATAAAAAATAAAGATAAAATATTAACAAAATATGATATAATTTATAAAAAAAATAATTATATATATAATGTATTTTTATATATAGGATTTTGGCATAAATATAAGCATAACAAGTTTCTATTATATTTGGAAATATAAGAGGAAGATTTAATAGATTGTTGATTAAATAAATTAATTAAGGGGGATGGTTTTTTTTAGGGTTGAAAGGAATATATTTTTCTTTATTAATAATAATGTTATGGAATAATGTTCAAGTTTGTATTATATTTTCAGTTAGCTGTAATTTGGTATCCATTGAAAATCAGAGAAAGTAGGTGGTGTCATATGTTGGCTTACTAAAGTTTGCATATAGCTTTGCATGTGATCCTAACAATTTTTTGGATTGTAGATATTAGATATGCCCATTTTGAAGGAATAAGCTAAAGTAGGATACCTATAGCCTGTGGCTAAATACCTAAATAAAAAATATATTTAAATAATAAATTGCTTTATTTTTACCTTAAACAAACCAGTTTTTCTTCAATGGTTATAGGATTTTTTATAAAATTTGTGGTATGTAAAATGTAATATTGGTTTTATATGCTCAAGTATGTAATAAAAGGTTTTCTAAAATAGGATTTTTTTATAAAATTTGCGGATGTTTTATGTAATGTTGGTTTTACTTGCTCAAGTATGTAATAAAAGGTTTCCTAAATTAAAATGAATTATAGATAAAATAGAATAAAATTACTTTTGTCATTCTCATATAATTGTAAAATTTAGCCTTATTTTTAAGAGTTTAGGAGGAGGCAAAATTCACCCTCCTTTCTTTTATTAATATTAAGATTGTTTATTCTCCTCCTCTTCGATATAATTTTGTATAAGAATAAATTTGACGGATCTCATTTTGTGAATTAATAAAATCGCTTTGCACTATGAATGAAAATCGCTGCGATCGATCCAGCTAATCGGTCGCTGCGATATCTCGGCTAAATCGCAATCGCTCTTCACTATGAATTCAGGGTTACTCGATCAATAACAACAGAAACTTTATAGACCCAAATATCGACCCATATTCAACGTATTGAGCGTTGAAGGGATCTTAATGCTACAGGACTATAATTTATTTTTGTGAAAATTTTCACAATTCTTTAAATTACATTAAAAATAGAGTATATTATTTAAAAATTTTATTAAGGCGAGTGCCATATTGAATGTTACTAAGTTAGAACTATATACTCGATAATTAAGTAATTTATTTGAAAAACATAATATAGATATGTATATTAATTTTAAGGAAAAACATAAATAGTTCTATATAAATTTATATCATTTAAAAAATATTTAATTAATTTACTTAAATTTGACATATTTTTAATATTACGAAAATAAGAATATATATATATATATAAATGAGAGGAAGATTTTCTCCCAGTTCTGGGGATGCTCACCTTAATATAGCACACGCCTTTTTCATTTAAAGTGTAAAATTAAAGATAGTAAAAATTTTCATAAGAAAAAAATATGAAATTCTTAAAACTTTTGAGTAATAAAACTTTGAATTAGTGATCTGCATCGGGCCTAATCTTTCAAGCCCGGCCCGGTCCGAAATTTTTTTAAAAAAGTTTTGCCGGCCCGGTCCGAACCCGAGTTTTTTTAAAAAAAATTTGCCGACCCGGCCCGGCTCGAATTTATTTAAATATAAAAATTAATTTTTATAATTACTCAAAATAAAAGACATATGTTATATGTCTTTTAGTTTCAATAAATAAATATTTTTATTTTACATAAAAAATTCAATATAAAATTGATAAATTTAAGATATATTTAAAAAAAATTCCAAGGTCCAACCCGACCCGGCCCGGCCCGAACCCGATTATTTTAAATAGAATTAGGCCCCTAACTTTGCAGATCTCTACTTTGAATTATTATTACATCAAATAATTTCCACCCATATCCACACGATCATATATTAATTCTTAATAAAAATATATTTAATAAAAAATAATATTAAAAATTTTCCCCAGTTTCAGTGATGAAGTTCAAGAAGATTTTTGAACATATTTTGATAAGAATTTTAAATCTTCTTAGTAGATAAATCTTTTTTGAGGAATTCTTTTGTGAATTTTATTATAAATAAACAATCTTTAAGGTGAAATCGTCATCATATTTTTTATCATTTTTGTATTTCTAAATAATTTTTTTTAAAATATTTATATTAAGTTTTTATGTTATTTTATATGATCTTTAACTCTGTAGTTTAACAACACAAATTACAAATAAATAAATTTCAGCTCAAAAGTCGGCTTGAACTAATTCCAGAGCCGGCTTATTAATTTCATATTATCAAAATTTCCACCAAATTAAGCCTAAAATCTCTGAAGCCGAATTCGGATCCAGAACTATTTTTGGTTTCGATATACATATTCTAATTAAAAATAGAAATGATGCCGTTAATTTTTGATCACATTAATCAGTAACCCTAAATTTAACAAAAAATCGACTCGAATGGAGTCGTTTTACAAAATATATGTAAAAAATAAATATCAAAAATCATATTTACTTATAAATAAAAAAGCCAAAAAATTGTACAAACCCAGTGAGTCGACTAAGTATAAGTAACCCTACTAAACGAGTTGACTAAGTGAGCCTTTTAATGCTGCTCATATAGTCAAATCGAGTCGGAGTCGTTTAATCGACTAGAAACTAGGCTCGAGTCGCCTCAGCTTAGCCGTTTGCTAGAATTGATTAAATACTATTTAATAAATTTAAGAGTGCTTGTTTAATTTTAATTTCATATGAGGTGAAAGAAATTGCACGATAGAGAGTATATGAAAACCGATCAACTATCAACACGCCTTTTAATTTTATTAATGCCATATTATAATTCATTTGTTTTTATATTATAAATTATGATTTTTAAAAATCACAATTTAATTGGATCCCAGCCGAATTATCCTGATATCCTCATATACAAACCAACCTCATTTACATTCCACCATCCTTGATTTTAGTTTAGATTACTTTTCAGCAAAAATAATTTAATCATTTTTAAAAAATTTAATTTATGTAACAATTAGAATTTCGCTTTTTCCATAAATTATGAGAAAAATTTAAGTGTTTTAAAACTTGTCACCTTATGCATTGATATCTGCTCATTGCGCTACTACTCCCATGTTAATTTATCCATCTTATTATCTGCTTATTTTTTAAAATTATATATTTATATTTAATCAATTTATAGAATCTTTTTGAATTATATTTAGATGGGTAAAAGTAAGATTATAAATATCCAAATTCATTTAATCATTATTATTTCATCATTTTGGCAGAATCAAACCAATTAGCCATAGGTTAATCTACTAGTAGAGGTATATCATCTAAATATAAAACAAAATACCGGAGTATTTGAGCCTGCTCAAAATTGAGGACACCAGAAAATAACTAATTTTAAAGAGGAAAAGATTCTATAAAAATTGTTATTAAAAATCGGCATGTCTCTTCAAATATATGATTTGATGAGATCTGAGAAAATAGTTTCCATATCAAACCTTCTGCCAAGTTTACATCCAATAGCATATTTCTTATAAATTATATAATATGTTGTTAAATATCAATCCTCAACGAAGTAGGGGAGAAATGGCATGTTGCTTTTTTTAAAAAAGGGTTGGGCTTGTTCAAACAAATTTAAAATTAATGTAGCCCAATCCTTAATATTTAAAATAAAATTTTAATCAAAGCTCTATCTATAATAGTTTTTGAACTAGATAAGTTTATGTGAAAGTTGTATGAGTCAGTTGAGACATACCAAATACCATGTTTTGACTAGCTAGAAAATCAACTTTCACATAAACTCACCAAGATCAAAAACCTTAGAGGTTTGATTCAAATTTTATTTTAAATTAAGGACTGGGCTACACATTTATTTTAAATTTGTTTGATTAAACTCAATTCTTAATCCCTTTTTTTGAAAAAAGCAAAATTATGGTCAGTCATTCCACTTCTCCCCTACTTGCATCTTTTGCGAAATATTATCTTAGATACAGGATACATTAAAAAATTTATATATTCCTTCTGTACAATAAGCCGTAAAGTCGACGAGGAGAAAGATATTCCCGTGGTTTACAGAAAATAATATATTTGCTTTCCCACCAACTGCTATAGAGGAATTGTGCTTGACCCAACAATAAAAATAGAAATGGAGAGATTCATAAACCAACCACTAGAAATACTTAGAGAAATATCATCTATATATGTTGATTGTTTAAACGAGTAAGATAAAAGTAAATGACATCAAATTCTATAATTTATTCCTCCAAAGGAACTATCTCAATTTTTTAATATTTAGAAATTTATATAAATTACCTAAAACACTACACATTATACTCAACGATTATGATTATCACAATACGTATATATTATATAAAAAAGAGTTTTTACACCCAATTTTCATTCCTTTTTTCTGCTAGTTAGGACTCAGGAGAAAACTCACCCTCTTGTATACGTCTTGTTTAGAAAATCCGTTATCAGGTATTACATTTATGCATATGGATCCATTTTTAATTTAATTTTAATAAAATGAAGGAGTGGGGGTTGGGACTTAGAATATTGGATCTTTATCATATTAAATATTAATAGATGTGGTATTTCGAGTTCCCAGGCTATAATAAGTCACACAACGGAGGCTTTAACTCTAATAAGGTGATTGCCGTTATTTATTAAGAGACATATTAGTGGTCATATTAATCTAGGATTTTACCGGTTTCCCTTTTGCCACATATTTTCTTAAATGCTAATTTTTACCATTTTATAGTAACGATAAACCTCCACCAATTAAAAGGAACTTAGCCAGCGCGCATTCTTCCGTTAAGAAAGGCGAACTTCTACCTGTTTCTACTACTGTATCAACTGTATCTCACAATGTTTACCAAGAAAATCCTAAAAATAAAAGCAATACTATTCACGACGAGTGTGACGGATTAGCGCAGAATACTTATATAGACTACGTTAAAACGGTCAAAGGTTATTATTTATTTTGTAGACTCCTAAAAAAATAGCAAAAATGTCTTTGAGCCTCAAAAAGTCAGATGATGCTTCAATTATTTAAAAAAATATAACTATTATATCCAAAATTTCGAACCTTTTGGTATTTAATTTCGGTTCAGATTCCAAGAGATCTAAAAACTGAAGATTAATAAATTCACTAATTTTGTTATTATAGTTTTTCATACGGGGTACCCATAGCTCAATAAATAATTTTAATTATATTTTATGATAAATTAAGAAGAATAAAACAGTTAAAATTAACCCATATTTTATTGTCAATTTTTATTTGCATATAAAATTACAATGTATAATATCATTTTTTATATATTTGTCAAATTTTGTTCATGATAGGAAATATTTCATTATTTAAAATTCTCTGTGAAACTTGAGCAGCTGGGACAGGCATGGCTATTGTTGCTAATAGATAATTTGGGTGTTCAAATTTTCTTCCTTCTCAATGTGCAAGGATTCCAATGTTTTTATTAACCGTTTCATGCCGTTTGAATAATTTATAATGATATCATAATTCTTCAAACTTAAGATTGACTATTGTTCAGTTGATATTTTTATCTCTTATTCGTAGGTGGCAAAATATTGAAAAATACGTGTTGATCGTAGAGTGTAAAGTATCTTCGGGATTACAAGGTAATTCTTTAGCAGGAAAAATGACTAGCGGGAGATGGATTAAGATCTCATGCAATCTGCAAAAAATTTAGTGAAGGAGTCTTCAATTGCTTAAGGGTGACCCTAAAGGTAGTACGGTTGAATTTGAAATTATTTTGTGGATTTATTGTAGACCTATATTTTCATAGGATTTTATTATGTCAATTGCCATGTTTGTCCTAAAGTTTCATTAAAAACTTTAAATAATAAATTTAAAATTATATCTTTTAACAATTGCTATGCATTTATTTTTATAATTATAAATTCTTTTTCTTTTAGCTTTCACCTTTTCTGGTGGTAAGCTCTTTCAATATCTTTTTTTATTTTATACTTGTAATATATGGGAAATGGTACCAAAAAAAATATTAGCTTATTTAATTTTAATTAACTTAAGTAAAAATACAAACATTTAAATAGAATAAAATATAACTTTAAATTATCGTATCAAGTTTATTAATATTTAAACCAACAGAATTAATTGTAATAGGAAAAAAAACCGGAAATAAAACCCCTCCTTAAAAATTACAAATAAAATAAGTATTTTTTTAATCAAATTTGACGCTTATAAATAACACTTACTGATTTTTCAATGGTCTTTTTATATTCTCCTAAAGTTGGCTGAACAAATCATTCTAAAATATGGCAATATTTTGAGTTTTATTACTCTCTGACTTTTACCAGTATAGTAACCACTAACCAGTATAAAGGAAAAATTTTATTAGTAACAAGAATTTGGCCAACAAGATTATAAAGTGACTGAAAGCATTTATTCAGAAAATTCTATCATCAATGTTTAGATTGTATATTAATTTAATTCGTTTGGTAGACAATATAAAGAAAATCGTGGCGGGGGAGTGGCAACGTCTTTTGGCGGCAAATGGAGGTCTAAAAGGTTCCCTGTGATCTGGTCTAGAATAGGATCACCGTCTCCTCGACGGGGTGTAAAAACCACTTAAAGAGGTTGATGTCAGGAAGGGCATCCGATTGTAAAAACCATGCTACAAAAATTTCCCTATGGTTACAACAAAGCATGGGCGGGGTACAGCCCAAAGTACCCCGTGGGCCTCCTCATCCGCCTACGACAAAAAGAAGGATGGGAAACCTGGTGGAACCACTATTCATGAAAATGAAACCTATGACGGCCATAAACGACCTAATAAAAAGTGGAGAAACCAGTTTACGGGTGATCGAGTTAGGGTCGCGACATGGAATGTTGGGAGTATGACGGGAAGAGCGGGAGAAGTCGTCGATGTATTGCACAGAAGACATATAGATGTGTGCTGCATACAGGAGACTAGATGGAAAGGAAATGGGACCAGAATGATTGGCAAGACTAGCGAAAAGTATAAATTCTTTTGGCAAGGAGGTAATGATGGTAAGGCTGGAGTTGGGGTATTGGTTGCGGAGAAATTGGTAGACAAAGTAGTCGAAGTGAGAAGGCTAGACAACCAGATAATGGTTATCAAGATGATTATTGGTAGAAAGCTATATAATATGATCTCGGCATATGTTCCTCAGGTTGGAAGAAGTGAAGAAGAGAAAGATGTATTTTGGGACAGTCTATTGGGGGTGACATCGAGACTGGCAAATGAAGAGGGGATTATCCTGGCTGGCGATCTGAATGGACATGTGGGAGCGAGTAGTGAGGGTTATGAAGGAGTACATGGAGGGTTCAGTTATGGCATGAGAAATTTGGAAGGAGAGAGGATTTTAGAATTTAGTGATGCTATGGATATGATTGTTTGTAATACAATGTTTAAGAAAGAATCAGAGAAGCTGGTGACTTATAAGTCGGGTAGTACCAAAAGTGTTGTGGATTACTTGTTATTAAGGAGATGTGATCGATGTATAATAAAAAATGTGAAAGTGATACCGGGAGAGGAATGTATAAATCAGCATCGACTAGTTGTAGGAGATCTCACTCTTAAAGGTGCCAGGGTCACTAAAAGAAAGTTTGTCCCAAGGCTGAAGGTTTGGAAATTGAAGGAGGAGAATGCTAGACGTCAATTCAATATGGCATTGGCGATTAGGGAGGCGGAGGTGGCACAAGCATCTGGGGTGAATGACAAGTGGGAAGCCATGAAGAAAGCTTGGGTAATGACAACTGAGGAGGTATGTGGATGGACAAAAGGGCCGCCTAGACATAAGGAGACTTGGTGGTGGAGCCCAGAGGTAGCGAAAGCCGTGGATGAGAAACGGAGGTGTTTCAAAGTATGGTATAATAGCAAAGAAAATAGTGATAATGATATTTACAAGATGGCTAAAAGAAATGCTAAGAAATTAATAGCGAAGGCTCAAGAAGAAAAAAGACACGAGTTTGCTAAAGAAATGAAATGCGCTGATGGAATTGGAAATATGGTTAGAATGGCAAAACAGATGTCAAAAAAGAGGCAGGATGTGATAGGTGTAAAGTGTTTGAAAAATATGGAAGGAAAAATGACGATTGATAGTAGTGGTATTAAGAACACCTGGAAGATTTACATGAAAGGACTTTTGAATGAAGAAAATGAATGGAATAATAATATTAGTTGTGCAAAGGTAGAAGGTCCAGGGTGTAAATTTGGCAAGGACGAGATAAGGAGAGCAGTGAAAAAGATGAAGAAAGGGAAGGCATCGGGTTTAACGATGGTGGTATCAGAGATGTTTAAAGGTTCTGATGATTTAGGGATTGAATGGTTAATGAATTTAGCAAATCAGATTGTCACAGAAGGTACTATTCCCGAGGACTGGCGAAGAAGTATAATTATCCCAGTATACAAGGGGAAAGGTGATCCTTTAGATTGTGGGTCTTACAGAGCTATTAAACTCTTGGAACATGCAATGAAAGTTTTTGAGAGAGTGTTAGAAAAGCGGATAAGGGAACAAATCAAAATTGATGAAATGCAGTTTGGTTTTACATCGGGAAAAGGCACGACAGATGCAATTTTTGTGGTGAGACAAATTCAGGAGAAGTATCTTGCGAAGGAAAAGAAACTATTATGCGTTTGTTGATTTGGAGAAAGCATTTGATAGGGTGCCGCGTGAGATTACAAGATGGGCCTTGAGAAAATCCGGTGTGGAGGAATGGTTAGTTACCGCAGTGATGGCAATGTATGTTGGAGCACAAACAGCAGTACGGACGGATCATGGTGATAGTGACAGCTTTGAGGTGAAGGTAGGACTTCATCAAGGATCCGTGCTGAGTCCATTATTATTTATCTTAGTAATGGATGTGGTGGCTAGAGAAATGCGTGAAGGACTTCCCTGGGAGATATTATATGCAGATGACCTTGTATTAATGGCAAACAGTGAGGGAGAATTGAGGGATAAAGTTAGTAAATGGAAGATGACTATGGAAGCAAAGGGCCTGAAAATGAATGCATCAAAAACAAAGGTGATGATTGGTGGGGAAAATCTAAAGATAGAAGAATCAGGTAAGTGGCCTTGTGGTGTATGTGGGAAAGGAGTTGCTAGAAATTCTATCCAATGCACCAGATGCCAGAAATGGGTACATAAAAGATGTAGTGGGAAAAAAGGCAGTTTGATGTTAGAAAGAATGACCTTTATTTGTAAAACATGCATGAAAGGGATACATAATAATGATAACCTAAAAAATGGTGGTCTGGATATTGGCAATGGGTTAACCCTAGAAAAAGTGGATAAGTTTTGTTATTTAGGTGATATGCTAAACGCAGATGGTGGTGTAGATTCTGCTGTTGTTGCAAGGATCAGACAAGCTTGGAAGAAGTTCAGAGAGATGTCATCTATTCTTACAAATAAAAAAAGTTTCTCTGAAGTTAAAGGGGAAAGTTTACGTAAGCTGCGTGAGGAGTTGTTTAGTTTATGGCGGTGAAACATGGGCAATGAAAGCAATTCACGAAGCCAAATTAGAAAGAACAGAGATGAGGATGGTTAGATGGATGTGTGGGGTATCTCTGAGAGAGAGAAAAACTAGCAAGGAATTGCGAGCAAGATTAGGTATAGAAATGATTGGTATGGTAATGCGACGAAATAGACTAAGATGGTTTGGGCATGTGGAACGTATGACAAGAGATGACTGGGTAAAGAGATGCACAATGATGGAAGTAGGAGGATCAAGACCTAGAGGAAGACCCAAGATGACGTGGACAAATGTGATAGCGGCGGATATGAGAAGCTTGAATCTTACAAGTATTGATGCTCAGGACCGTCAAAAATGGAAAAGAAAAATCAGAGGGAAAACTGGCCTACCCGGGTAAACCTGGAAATCGCCATAAAACGGAGAAGAAGAAGAAGAAGATTTTTCAATGGTCTTTTTATATTCTCCTAAAGTTGGCTGAACAAATCATTCTAAA